AAAAAATACAATTACACGGACATTTTCAGATGTGAACTTTTCAGATTTCCTTCACAATTTTGGTGTAACTGACATTGTAATAATTTTACCAGGTTGAATTGGTGTATCTGTAATAATGTAAAAATTTTGCTACAAAACTTTGCAATTACACTGATTTGCTAAGGTTTATAACATTAAATAAAATAGGAATTTGGAAAGTTTTAAGGCATATTACATTATTATTATACCAGCAGTATCAGTTAAAGAAGTTAAAGTTAGCTCAACAAAAACATTTATTGAAATTGAGCAAACTATCCAGCCAACTAGGTGTCACTGCGCGTTGCTAACATTAACCTGTTGTTACTCTGTTACTTTTACTGTTGTAGTACTCATGACCTTAATTCAACATTGCTATAAAGAGGTGGGAGATTAAATCCATTTTGTTTTCAGTTTAAGTTGCCCCGTAGAGCTAAATACGGTATTGGTAAGTCAAAGCTTAAAAAAATATTGAAATTACTTAGTTTCACAGTAATACTTTAGTTATTTCAATATTTCTGTCTTAAAAAAAAAAATACACATATTTTCTTGATTTTCGTGGCTTTTTTATCATTTTTTAATGAATAAAATAAAAGTTACTTCTAATAAAATTTTAAGAAAAATAAAGAAAACGACAAAATGTTATTTTTTTCATGAATTCTCTTATTTTTTAATACTTTTACATAAATTATACAGCAACTAAGTAAACAAAACCCAGCAAATGCATCAAATTATTTTAATTTGGGCAGTACTTACATCAATTTGACCTATGTTTTTTCCAAAAGTATGGTGTAAAATTAGTGTAACTGTCAAAAGTACAAAAATACATTGGTGTAACTGCAATTTATTTCCTTAACTAAGACATATTAGATAAATTCTTTTTATTTAATCGAAAACCGCGTAGAATTCCAAGCATTTCTGTAAAAACAGATCCAAAAAAAGGTTAAATAGAAAAAAAGTTATGTCCGATTTAAGACGAAAAAAAACTTTAAACGGCTCTACTGAAAAACTGTATTTTGTCAGTTACCCCAAGTGAACCTGCAACTGACGATATGTAGCAACAAGTATGCGCGTGAAGCGATCTGACCAGATTACTTGGTCGACCATGGCGTATCTGCAATCGGTAAATGGTTACTTTAAGTCTCGATATGCGGAGTATTCCCCATGGAATGCCACCGTCGCTATGCTGTACTTATATGCGCTCGGCGGACTGAATTTTTTCTTATCGCCGATGCATTTTCTGCGAGTTTTCAATGCGAGCGACACGGCGCGTCCACAGTGACGTCTACTCGATTTTATTTGTACAACTCGGGACAATTTATGTGGGCATCATTTTAGTGGCGGAAGTCGGAATTTTAGTGTCTCATTTCGTTAGTCAGAGTAAAATAAGAATAGATGTAGAGTCAGACTCTACAAAATATCGAGGAATTTGTTTCCTGCGTTATCATCTCCATAATTTTAAGCCATGTTCGCGGTTTTTTCCTCCGTCTTTTTCATCTAATTCTCTCCTGGATATTAAGCCGGTAATAACCCGGCTTGCCCGTCATCCATCACCGCGGTGCAATCGTCCCGCTGTCAATCTATTCCGGGCGCTCCGTTTTCGCTAATGATTCCCCGCCGTGATCGCGCGACATTTACAAAGCCGATTGTGCCGCCGGTTTGTTCACAAATCGCTTCTCCATCTCATCTCGATTTATCAGATGTGCTTTGTAGATAAGGTGATATCTACACGCCGCGCGGCGTCGGCCGATCAGAGTGCGGTGATCGACAAATAAATAAATGGGCGTGCACTTTCTAGTTTCTAGACTCGGTCTTGTCTGATACGGTTCGAATTAGAATGTAGTACCATTCACGGATTACATTTTCGTTAGTTAATGATACCCTAATGTGCGTTGATGATAACTATCATAAAATTAGTAGCATTTCATTGCTATGTTACCTTTGTGGTTATGCCAATTAAGCAGCATTGAAAACAAAAGAATTGGCGTTGAAAAAGCACAGGTTCAGTCGGATTGTTAATTAATTCAATGGCCGTGTCATCGCTCAAAAACGCGATCAGCACGGGAACAAAGCCCGGTTTATCCGTTTCATATAAAGAGTTGTCGCGTTCCATGTGAGAGAGTTTATAATTTATTTGCGCCGCAGTTTTCTGGCGACGATTTTCCCACAGGGCGGCGTCTCAAACGAGCCGCGCCCGCCCTTTATGTGGTTTTTTGTGGCGGCACAAAATGCCCGGTGGAAAACATTCAGTGATAACTGGCAACAATCGCAGCCGCCCGGATGCTCCCTTCCATTCCTCGCATACCTCCCGCTGGACCTCGCTTGCTTTTTCATCTAGCACCCGCCGACCGAACGCACTTGAGCCTCGTGACTCGACTCCGAATCGACATCAATTATTCACATGCAATTATTATTTTATTGTGTACCGAAGAAAATTAACGTCAGTGGACTTGAAAAAAAATAGCTGGAAATGTACCGCGGACGAACCTGTTTGATACTTGTGGGATTGCCATTTCAGTGTCAATGACTTTTCAATAAAGACTAAAACCAAAAATACTAGCCACTTATAGAAATGTTAACTAGATACTATGTAGATCATCGCTTAGATTTATTATGTTATGATGAAACTTAACCCACACTTCGAAAACATTATCCACAGCTGTAATGTTGAGTGGGCGATCGAGACATAATAAATGTCAGCGATCACGGCGAATAACTCGTAATTCACTGACGTTTACAATACCTATTGTTTACATTTGAATGTTGCAAAAAATATGGTTACTTAGTGACCAAAGTAATAAAATGAGTAATGCGCGGTTTAACCTTCTATCACCAATTCCACAATGGTGAAATGCAAAGTATTTTCACGAAATAGAACAGAATCTAATGTTTGTTCTAATACCAAGAACGTTTGTCGGCGAGGCAGTTCATTAGCGGAGGCGCGCTTCAGTCCCGCGTATTTCATTGTTCCATTGTTTTATTTGCCACTGTCCGGTGCTTACTGAGAGATATATAGCCCCAGCACGCTGCGCCGCTTGACACCTGTAACCAGCACTATTTTTTCACGTACCAACAACCTGAACTTTTATTGCATTGCCTACCCGCACTCAGCTTAGATATGCGGTGTTCATATGCACGGAACGTTTTCATGCCTCGCTCGACGAGTTTTTATTAATGTCCTATTGTTTCTTAATCGCCGCACCAGATTTGATATCGCGATAAATTTCCGTTAAAAGCATAAAGTTAACTTAGTAAAACGGTAAGGTCGCTGCCGAGTGTTTTTCGGCCGAAAACCACCCGTCCAGATCTGAAGTCCGATGGCGTTATCTCCCCGTCCAATCGCGGAACTGACGTTACCGCGTTGTTGAGAGTCGAAACGTCGATATTTCAAGTCGTAAACCAGATCTAATGACATGCTACGTAAATACAAGCCGATCGGCTTCGTTATTAAGAATTCGAAATTCAGTTCTGTTGAACGAAAACAAAAAACCATCGATGACTATAATGAAAGTTAATCTTCTAAGCGGGGAATTTTTCGTCTGCGACAAGACGATAATTTGTCTTATCTTTTCAATGTTTTAGACTATTCAACGTTGTGCGACACGGCTGCCGCACAAATCTCACGCTAGACGTATCGTTGTTCCAGTTTGCTGACAATAAATCGTATGTTTAGCGACGCGGTGACTTGTATAATTAACAATAGCAGCATTATACGCGATTTCCAAACTGAGCGTCACAACAGAGATCGTTTGTCACGACGCAAATTGCTATTTATGAGGATTATCTATAGGTACTTAAACGGGATAAATTATTTTGTGTGTTGGCACAGGCTTTGTTGCAAGCTTAACGATTTAAGTCATATTTCTTAGGTTGATAAAGTTCCGAAACGAGAGGTGGCTAAACGTGCTGAGCAATGTTATAAAGATGTAAGGTATCGAGCCGTGGAGAAGTGCATTCCTTTTCGAGAGACCTCTCACCTCTGGACATTGTTCTGGCCGCAAACAGTACAGCTCGTAAATAAGCCAATGCTATTTAGCTAACAATTGAGCTCCGATGGGCATTTGGTCAGATTCCGAAGCAGGCAGGCACGTGTGCTCGCCTCCGCATGCCTGGGGCCGAGTATGCAGCGGGGCTAGCGTTTTGGCCCCTCAGAATATGCCATGCACATTTGACGCAAATAATGTCGAATAACGCAGCCCATGCGAGCATTCAGATTAACTGGACCATTTCACTCATGTGACTAATGTGCGCTTATTGATAAAATTAATTACGATATATTGGCATAATTAGTACGTATAAGCACATGTACAGATGTCTTCTCTATGCGAGTATATTGGTGTGGTAATAATACGAGGTCGGATTTGATTTATAATAAGATTGATCAGCGATCAAACTCCAAGATTATGATTTAAAAAAATGAGAACTAAGTTTTGCTAACTAATATTTAATTCATAACCAACATCTACGTACCTAATTAGAACATCATGTTCTGAATTTAATCTTGTATTTAGTGCGTGCGTGCACACATGGATCACGCGTGTTGTTATTACATTCTGCGGTCTCTCAAATTTGTATTAATCAAGTGCTTTATTGCTAATAATAACGTACTATTGCCAGACTGCTAGACAGTCTAGGTAGGTATACTATAACCAGATTTAATCTTAAGGTTATTAAATTTATTGGGAAATTGAAAATAGTTTCGACTTTGATTAATTTTCAAGGCGCAATTTTACTACAATAGTATTTTAGACAAATATTATACTGATCGCAACAATGTGACTATACATTACAATCAAGAAGTCAATTCGTCATTTTTAATCATACTTTGAACTACTTTTATCATTACTCACAAAACATTTGATGGTGTGTGTGACATGACATGTCTTTTTACTTACGTGGCAGACTTCAGTACATAATGGTACCATTACATAATTTAATACTTTTGAACGTTAATATTTGTTGACCATTCGTTCTGTTTATTATAGGTAAGTGACAAATGGAAAGTTTACACCGGTGAAAGATACACCGATGATGCACCCGGCAGGATACTACGCTAATCTTGGTAAGAAAGTAAAACTATTTTTACCAATGATCAAGATCTTTCGGTCAGTTCACTTTGGTGATGGGTTTATAGTCATTAGGTACTGTTTATTTAGGTTAATTGATACTTTTAAAAAAAATACTAACACAATTTTACGAGAGAAACTTATCAATGTCACAAAGCAAAGGTACGAGTATAGTAAGAAGTCGTAGAAAAAGGCGATGGTGTAAAAAAAATTAAAAAGAAATGTTTTTATAACCTTATAAAAAGTCAACTTCATAAAACTCTACATAATTTATTTCTTACACGTCTGCTTGTTATGGTAGATGATAAACAAGATACAACTTCTGATTTCCATTATTATTGATTAATTGAATAAGATCAATCATATTATGGTTATTATTATTATTATTTATTATTCGTTTAGTACAAACCTATATCTTCTATCACTCAGCTATTGTAATTTAATTAATTTAACACCCCCCATTTTTTCTTTCTTTCTTTCATTTCCTAAAAAAGGAGAGTTTTAACCTCCTCGGAGTAAGAACCTTCGACTGTTTTTAAAACAGACTTAATATCGAAGTCTCAGTAACTCAACAAAGATAATATCTTAGACCGCATTTTGCATACAAATATTTAAGTTTTATTGATTTACCTGAACTTATTGCTAAACAAATTCTTCGAGCATTTAAATTACATCGCGTTCTTCCAACGTTGTCGATCCTAAATCCATTCCAAAAAGATACCACTCCCACACAAAGTCGTATCCTCAAACATTTCCACGGTCAAACAAAATACCTATCTAATTTTCCATAATACGCTTATCTTTTTTGCCTTATTGTTATTCTTAACTATTTCTTATCGCCTTATCGTTTTCGTGGAACTATCTGATAGACAGTCGCTTACGTCACCGTACGGCTCTCCGTTGAATGTGCGCATGAATTATGTTTTTCATGAATGGATTATGGTGTTTATTTACAATAAATAATGTTATTATGTTACTTTTTTCCGTTGCTTGTGATATTCTGTGATGTCTCTCTGTTGGAGTTCGCGGATTATAGGTGACAGAGTTGGAGGTGATAGAGCGTGCTCGAATTTTCTTACATTTCCCGGATGAAACCGGGACTTTTGATTTGGTATCCTAAATTGCGAGTAAATAAGTAGTAGTAGTGTTGCATATGTCATCTTACGCAGACCCACTACTTAAATTCAGTTCAGATTGAGCTGTAGCCGCAGGCTTAGGCCCTTCTGAAACTAGGCTCAAACCTCGTAGTCATACTATTGATAAATAAATACTTTTCAATTGGTTGAAGTGTTCGGAGATCGTTTACTGGTCAGCACAGCATTTAAATTAGGTACAGCACAGCATTTAGTCTATTTTATTGTGCATTATTGTAAACAAACAAGGAACTAAGTAAAGTGCTTTCTTCCGACAGTTTTAGCACAGCTCTGATATGGACTTGTCAACATCATCTTATCAAATTCAGATGTCATTTTTGTTATTTATAATAATCTGTGTCATTGATACCAGAATAGCTATCATAACAATGATCTTATTACCAACTTCCTAACATTTTAGAACATTTTTCATCTGAAATGAGCATACATTTATATTATAAAAGATTATCTCACAAACTTAATCGTTAGTAGTTATCTGAGATAACACTTTAGTGACTAATCAGTTGTTTAAAGTTATTAAGCATGTTTAGGAAGTGATAATGAGTCGCAGCCAAGCTAATTATAGCAGACTTAATGACTTCACACAGGTGTTAACTACCATTCTAGCGAATTACCTAGTAAGTATACCTATTGGTGATGACAATATCAAAATCTCATAATAGATAGAGTCATTTAAGACTAGCAGAACCGACTATGTTATTTACTACATTTTTGCCCGCTATGATAGTAGAATGAATCAAACAGTCGTCTATTTACCAAATGATATCAAATAAACCTAAATTATGATCGAAGCTAAGAAGCTTACATTCGTGGAAAATTCTTGCAAAAGCTCAGTCGTGGAAAATTATCAAAAACTCATCTATCATTACATTACTAATAGTGACTGAGTTTTTCAGCACTGGCACATTTATTGTCCCGAAGCAGTGGTAGGGTTAATACTGGGACTGTGAAAGTGCTTTTTAAAAGCCTACTTGCAAAAATAAAATGAGTTTTATGAGTTTTTTTTATTGCATAATTATTTAAAATCAATATACCTATACAGGGTGGAATTTTGTAATGCCACCTGGAGGGAAAGTACTCTAAATATTGTAGATAGAATTTTTTTCTCAAAGAAAACATTCCTTTATTTTTTTAAAGAAATAGGACTGCGTTCAAAAATTTCCAAAAATGCTAATGCCACACCCGGGAATCGAACCAACTAAAATCTATTAAAAATGATACCCTGTATTTTTATGACATCGATCGTTAGGGTTAAGTATAAGAATGAAATCTCTCTAACAAACTTGATAAATCAAATGAAAGGAAAACCATGAAATCTTAAATTATTTTAATTATGTTACAGAGAATTGTATGGTATGGTAGTGAATTTACGAAAAATTTTCGAAAATCTTTGAATGCAGTTCTCTTTCTTTTCAAAAATAAAGGAATGTTTTCTTTGAGTAAAATTTTCTATCTACAGTATTAAGAGTAGGTACTTTCCCTCCAGGTGGCATTACAAAATTCCACCCTGTATAGATAGGTTTTGAATATTCCTCGCTGCTCAGTTTAGTTAAACCAGATGTTTGCTCTTTAAAGTCTTAGATAAGTATCTAGGAGGTAAAACTCAACGCCCACTCCGCAGACTCTCTGGAATATAAATAAGTGATGTGATCGATTTACAAAGGACTTGTTGCATTGACCTGTTGACTCGCAACCTTTATACCGATTGCCATTTACGTAACCCATCTATACTCATTTAGCTTTAAGCATGAGCCTTAGTTAATCCCACGTTCGTAGCTCTGGAAATAATTATGATCGTTAATCGATATCAATAAAAGCTCCCGGGAGTCGAGTCGAGTCTATCGTGTGGATTGTAACAACTTATGGCACTTTGGTGTCAGACTTTATCACATTCATGGGTCAACAGGCTTAGTTTGCCATTTGACCACAGAACGTACTTACTAAAATGTAGAGTTCCTTCTGATATCTGGGATCGGTGAAGGAGTCAAATCCTCTATCTATGCACTTAATTAACCACCATCGTTTGCTTATAATAGTGATCTGAATGTTCATTTAGATTCTAATACCTATAAAATTTTAGATTGAAATTATAAGGTATTCTCTGAGACTGAGTGACATTTTGCAATATCTTTGTCCTAGGATGAAATTATTTATCTACCCAAGAGTTACCGAGATTACTCGAACAAACATGTTTACGTATTTCTAGCAGGAGTATAAGATGAATAAACATTTAGGCTGGGTTGCACCATCGTACTTTAACTTTGACAAACGTCAAAAATCTGTCAAACTCCATACAAAAATAACACCGGTTATCGTTAAAGTTACAGTCAAAGTTAGGTGGTGCAACTCAGCCTAACTAACTTAACCTACTATTAGCAATAGCAAGCTGTAATTACGTGACACATAGATCCACATTTCGAGTGAAAATTAATAAAGCCTAGATATGGCTACGACCTAGGGCTAAGTCATCGAGCAATCAATATCTCGTTAGTAGTCCATGTAATAATTAAACCGATAATTAACGTGACCTTAAATTGTGTTACAATATTTTGTGAAGGTGTCAGATCTATTATTAGCACATATTTAAAATTTAGGCTATATTATCTAATGAAATAACATTTTAATATGCTAGGAAGTATTAGACGAAGTACAAATTCTAGGTTATTAGTTAACTGGTTTGTAACCACGATTTTGCTCGCTTGGATTTTATTAATTTTATATTGTGGTCTAAGGTCTTAATATATCCAAAAATATATACAAATATCCATCAATCCATTGTCATTTTATTAGATGACTTACGCGCCTATACTTACCGGATGTGATTTTTTCAAATGAAACTGCATGCTTCAAGTAAAATATTTTTAATATTCAGTCAAAGCCTACCTATTTTACTTTAAGTAGGCATAACATTCGTCCGTTAGGGAAAAACAATCACAGTTTAGCAAGGTCATAACGACGGCAAGGTCTCTAAAAACTAAATTAGCAGACAAATAATCTCATAACTTTTGAACACATCGCCTACCTAACTGTAAGAATGGTATAATATGAGTATTGCTGTAGGTAAGTAGAGAATTCACGATGCTGTAGTTTCCGTCGCGGGGAAAAACGGTGATCTTAGTTTAGCAAGGTCGTCGAATTGAAAAAATAATGCCGCTAAATGTAACTACATATTAGCAGATATTCTTCAATAGGCTCTTTTGTTTTTAATCTACATGTTACGGTCAAAGTGATAAATGTGAAAATTATGAATAATCGCCGGTTATTATGAATAATTACCGCATGATTTGGTTAATATGATTAATATGAGGTCATTTATGTGTGTATAAAACTAAATAGGCGGCTTAGGGGTGGCCCAAGGGCCACCCCCGCCGCACCTTAACCTATTATTCACTTTAAATCAAAACATTGTGTTATAGGCATAATGGAAAAGTAATATTATGCAAGAAACATTCCAAACTCATTATGCCAAATTATATTAATATATGGTATCAAAACGTTCAAAAGTTTGGCTGTACACGAGCACGTACACAAGATGTTGTTCTCTTTTAAGAAATTTGTTAGTACTAAGGTTGAATTATTAAATAATCACTGTTAAATGTGATTAATTTATCACTTTTACCGCGACTGTCTGTAATTATTCATAATAACCGGTTATTATTAATAATTTTCAATTCATCACATTAACCGTAACATACATACCAAATTGCAAATTCTTAATAGTCCAATGAACTGTATGTCCAGTTTTATCTAAATTAAAGCAGCTTACACACTATAATATCCATCAATAGAAAATAACAGAAAGTGCAAGTGCTAACAGCTCGGATAGTGATTTGATTGAGTTT